GGCAGAGGGAAGAGGGGGCCGGGGATGTCCCCATTGTCCCCCTTGTTTGTCCCCTTCCCTCCTGGGCGGGGGGGGGAGGAGGAGCCCCCTGTTTTCCTCCCTCACTCATGGACCTCCCCCGGTGGCTTTTTGTCCCCCCCAGGGGTCTTTGTGTCCCCCTCCCGGTGGCTTTGTGTCGTCCCCCCCCTCCCGGGGGTCTTTGTGTGTCCCCCCCCAAGGGGAGGGATCCTCTTGGTTTAGAAGCGTTTGGGTTTTTTCTGTGGTTTGAGGAAAATGGGGGACTCCCCGGGCTCTGGAGAGCGGTGGCCGTTGGGTGTCCCCATGATTGTCCCTGGGTGTCCCCATTGTCCCCGTGGCTGGGTGTCCCTCATAATTGTCCCCATGGCCACGTGTCCCCATGGACATGTGTCCCCCGTGATTGTCCCCATGGCCAGGCTTCCCCACCATCATCCCCAGGTGTCCCCACGGTCCCCGTGGCTGGGTGTCCCCATGACTGTCCCCAGGTGTCCCCATTGTCCCCGAGGCCGGGTGTCCCCCATAATTGTCCCCATGGCCATGTGTCCCCATGGCCAGGTGTCCCCTGTGATTGTCCCCATGGCCGTGTGTCCCCACCATCATCCCCATGGCCATGTGTCCCCATGGCCAGGTGTCCCCTGTGATTGTCCCCATGGCCGTGTGTCCCCACCATCATCCCCATGGCCATGTGTCCCCATGGCCAGGTGTCCCCTGTGATTGTCCCCATGGCCGTGTGTCCCCACCATCATCCCCATGGCCATGTGTCCCCATGGCCAGGTGTCCCCTGTGATTGTCCCCATGGCCGTGTGTCCCCACCATCATCCCCATGGCCATGTGTCCCCATGGCCAGGTGTCCCCTGTGATTGTCCCCATGGCCGTGTGTCCCCACCATCATCCCCATGGCCATGTGTCCCCATGTGTCCTTGCCATTGTCCCCATGGCTGTTGTTCCCCACCATCATCTTGGTGGCCGTGCTTCCTGGCTGTCCCCATGGCTGGGCTTCCCGGTGATCGTCCCCATGGCCATTGTCCCCATGAGCCCTGTCCTTCCCCACCATCATCTTGGTGGCCGTGCTTCCTGGTGATCATCCCCATGGCCATGTGTCCCCATGATAGTCCCCATAGCCGTGTGTCCCCATGATTGTCCCCATGGCCACGTGTCCCCTTGATTGTCCCCATGGCCGTGTGTCCCTACCATCGTCCCCATGGCCATGTGTCCCCATGATAAATCCACCTCGGGGACCCCTGAAATCCCTCCCCAGATACCCCCAAATCCCCCCAAGGACCCCTGAAATCCCCCCGGGACTCCCAAATCCCCCCCCGAGACCCCCAGATGCCCCTGGGGACGCCCC